TTGGAAGAGAAAAAGATTTGGACATAGTTGAATATAATTTATTTATTTGTTTAAGTTAATGTTTGCCTAAAAATAAAATAAAATAATGTTTGCCAAGAGTGACCTTCGAAGACAAAAACGTCAATTTTAAGAAAAATACATTTATATATGTGTTGATAATTGTTAGAGAGTTGAGAGAAAGGAACCGGCGATGCCGAATCATTTTTTCACTATAGCTGTGATCTGCAATACCTTAAGTAAATAATGCAGTATAATCCGATAGACAGATACCTGATGATTTTCTCTTATTAAGACACTGAGCAGTTCCGTGTTGTTTTCCGAGAATGGCTGCAACCGGCGCTATAGGGTAAGGAAGAAAACTATGAGTTCTCTTTCTGAATATGTGATCGCTAAGCTCCACGTAATAGTAGACGTTCTCCCGGTACCTGTACCGAAAATAATTCCGCGTCAAACAAATACAATTTTAACATTTTCTGCATGATAGTGAGGTAGTGAGCGATGGATGCCGTACAATATTGCAAATCCACATAACCATGATATAGACTAGACGAACCATTAACTTCCATCAGGTTGCTAAATGTCCGCGGCGGTCAGGTGTATTATGGTTCATTCCAATCGAACGAGAATGCAACCAACAACAAATTGCCAAAAGTCATGAAGAAAATTTGCCCGAAAACCATTACTACAAGCAGTAATCTGGAATGTTGGTCTTGTCTTCTCCGCTATTATCTGCGATTATGACGAATTTCTATCCGTGTCTGACCATCTATTCAAGCAAGCCTTCCTATTCTTTTTTTTCGCGATAACCGAAGAATAATTCATTTGGGTAATGATGGCCCCAAAAGACGAGTGGTACTTCCTATGCAGATAGGAAAAAAAAGAAGCAGATCGATGATACTTTGAATAAAATAACTTGCATTATCTCGCTTATGTAACCTATTATATTATGATAGCCCTTAATAGCTTATAATGCCCACCATAGGACAATTTTGATGAAAACTCGTCTAAGACCTATGCACACCAATACCAATACTCTTTCACGCGCGAGCGATCATCTTTAAGACGAAAGGGGAATTCTCCATGCATTTAAAGCAAACAGAAAAACACGTGTTTTCGATTTGATTATTGGAAATCTGCTGTGAAGACTAATTTCAACGAATGCAAACTTAAATTGATCATTACTGAGAAGCAATAAAAAAATTTTCCAATGCTAAAAATGTGTTTTTGCTAATTTCAAATGCCTTTGTGTACTTAATTATCACACGACCCCCCGTTATGCAATTTCTCAGTTTTTAATTACATTCCTCTGAATCTTGCACACACACACACACACACACACTCAGAGTGAATGGGAGAGTAACGTCCATTACATTTATATTTTTTTTTTTTTTTTTTTTTTTTTAACAAATAGTTTAATGCTTTGCGATATTCATCGCAAAGTCGCCTAATAGTTGTTGTTATTGTTGTTGTTGTAAGGTATTTTTTCACATATTCGATTTTTGCGAATGAAAACTGAAAGTGATATGATTTCATAACTTTTGGTGGCATGTACGAGGATAAATGTATGTATTTCTTGCTTATTCGCAAAGAGGAGTGCAAAGTGCATTTCGATGCCAACATGCCAACGTTTATGTGTCAGAACGTACTGTTCATGTGATGTTTTTGGTTGGTGGTGATGTTTGGATGTAGAGCAAACTAATCTGTAAACATGTCATATGAGAGTATTGAGTGCATTTAGACGCACACATATAACGCATTTTTACATGCACGTGCACACATATAAATAGAGTAACAAATTACGCTTCAATATGCTTCTGTACGCACTTTGCATAAGCATTAGATTTGTATAAACCATTTTAAATTTTAATAATAAATATGAATAAATATGAATGTTTCCCTTATCACAATTCCAGCGTTCTATGCATTATTTGCTTTAGAGAAGGCAAAGAGAACAATGTACGCCGTTCTGTGAACACATTTATATATTAAGTGAATTGGGTTACCTACCGATTGCTTTTAATAAGAATTCGTTTGGTCTGTTTTTCTCATTTTCTATTTTATTTATCATAAATGATTGCGAAACGGAAAATCAATATTTACTTCATTATAAATTAGATCTCTTTTATGGCACTTGGAAAAAGGTTGTAGCCGCGACCCGTTCTTTTTTTTTTTTCTTTTTTTTATTTATTAAAACGGTAGCTAAGAGGCATCGTTGATTTACAATATTCAAGTGTTTTAGAAATGTGGTGTTTTTTTTTTTGTTTTTTGATTGAAATTTTGCATTCATTAAAGAGAGGATATAAAATAAAAATAATTCTAGTCGATTGATTGGCATTAATTAGTTGATTGGTATGTTATATAAATGTCTTTTAATTTACTTTTGTTATAAAAAATATTAGAAAAAAATGTAAAAATTAAATTTTAAATGAAAAAAAAATATTCTTATAAAGTAATATGTTCAAAAAATAAGGGGAATTTGAATATCAATGCAAACAATTGTTTTCTTGTTTTTTTTTTTCTAGTGGGAATGGTTTCATTAATATAATTACCGGGAATAAAGAAATTTGTACTGTGTTGAAAAAACAAAATTGCTTACGCAAATGCATCCAGAGTGTTAGAAGTCAAGAAGTAGTGGTGCAATCAAATTTTACAAATGTCACAAGTTATTGGGAAAAAAAATCATCTTGGCCGCTCTCTTCTATTATCTACAGGTGGCGTTCGCAATCAGTTCCGAGTTCTGAAGCAAGAATATACAGTGAATAGAGAATATTAGCCCAACTTATGGACACACTTTTGCACACTACTACAAAAATTTCAAACTAATATCCTTTCACGCGGAACATTGCGCCCGATATAGTTGCGAATGATTATGTTCCCTCATAGGCAGGCATTCCAAATTTACCGCACCCCTTGCATGTCATATTAATTTCGTACCAAGATGAGATTACATTCATCAACTGATTGTGTTTAAAAGTAAATTATTTCTGTAATCAATAATCAACAAGGAAGACATTACTTCCTGCCTATTTTCTTGTTTTGACGTAACCCGAGTCTGGCGATTGTCGCATGCTCTTGCGCTTATCAAACGATGCGATGCGTCGAATAATTGAAAATGGTTGACTTTTACTCATTCAGTTGCTGCACTGAACGCAGAACGCTCTTCGAATATGGCTCTTTTGTGATCCTCCTTCAAAGCGGTGAGAAGCGCTGGATGCAAATCTTCGAGAACACAATGTTTACGAAAGCACTTCAATTTATTTAGCTTTGCCTGTGCAGTGTTTGATGAATTTATTCTTCGTGCAACATGGCAACGCGCAAGAGGGCTGGAGATAAACACAACTTTTATCACACCGATCAATTTAGGATCACTTTCAGTATCTCGTCCGTCTTTCTGTCCCGTTTGCTTGCGTTGTTTGCTTGTGTGTATACGACAGGTAAAAAAAATTCAGTCGACGTCATTCGGTAACGCATCCGCTTATCATGCAAAAGCATTTTCGAAAAGTCATGATGCAATTACCGCTTGGAGAAAAACCAAAGCAAACCAAATCACACCACACCACCACCGCTCTCTTACTCGTTGCGATAATGGAGGTTGTTCAACTATCTCTTTCGGCTTCCCGCAAGAATTTCACTTGCCTGCGTATGCAGATAGATGACGATGAGCCCAATCATTCCGGACAATTTTGGATGAAAAAAAATTGTGATTATTCATTTTATCATTCATCATCCAATCAGCAAACGTGCAATGAATGTATCTAAAAAGCTTCTAGCTTTTGACTGTCAAATGTCAACGTCGCATTCAAGCATATTTGTCTGAGAACTTCATTTGGGGCTGCAAAATTGCGAATTGCACTCCGCTCTGACATATAAACTAATTATGCTTGAGAGGCTGCGTTTCTGTTCTGTTGATTAAAAAAAATTTCATCACAAATTTTTTGTTATTTTTTTAAAATGTTTTTTTTTTTTTTTTGGTAACAGTGTTTATCGTTTGTTGATTAACAAGGTAACCTATTAAACTATTTAGTTGAAGGGGAGTGATTTCTATTAAAGTAAAGCTTACTTATGGATCATTCATTGAGCAAACGACGCGGCCAATTAATTGCTCTGACATTGTTCGGCGATTGCATTCGCATATAACTTAATTTTTAATAATTTTTAACTGATTTTTAGCTGCGTGACACAATAAACTGTCATCGGCATGGTATCTTTTCCATTTCTTCCGAACATAGTCGAGCCCATGATAGGACAAAAACACTTGAGCAAACATTAGGAGAAAGAAAACGCAGATAAAGAAAATATGAATTGAGTGGTTTTGTCCTAATTTTAATTCGCGGTAGGATGCACATCCACCCATTGAAGGTGGGATATTTTGTATGATAAGAGCAAGGCGAGAGTAGAATGATTTTATTTATCATTTTACAAAAAAATTGCTGGGAAAACTTATCAGCTCTACTTGATTCGTTAAAATGGATGGTATTCTGCGTCCTAACTGTGCCCGTCCTTTCATTGTCTGTCGTTGCTGAGCAAATGCGTAAAGTCGGACGAGAAGAGAAGAAGAAGCTCTTCAACATGCGGAAAAATCCAAAGCGAATGCATTGAATGAACAAACAACTATCATTCAATAAAAGACTGATCCAATATTATTTAACTTTGTGAAATTGTCTCTTCGTTTGCATATTTGTTTATAAATTATTTAGTTTAGCCAATTTGTAAATACTTAGATGAGCGTTTTTCTTTTCCATTTTTTTTTTTTTTTTTTTGTTTTTCATTTTAAGTACGTACATACGCAAAGGAAAGCTTATTTGCATATTTGATAGATTACATATGTTGTATAAGTATCGTAAGCAAGCAGAGACCATTGAATTCTTAGATTGCCTAAATAATGATATGCATCTCTTATGCATTCATTATTAACATTATCAAGAGATATTTGCTAAACATTCAGGCCTTTATTTAAATCATTGATTGCATTATTTTCTCTATATATATATGTATTACAGTTTGCAAGGATACACTAAATAGAGAAGACAAGAGAGATACACAGCAACACCACTTGTAGTCTTATGAACGACCAGATGGTGAGTACACTTTGATGTTAATTCAAATAAATATAATAATAATTATTATAATTATTTTGATATTCTTTCGCAATTTTTTCTTTTTTTTTTTTTTCATACAAAATTTATTTATAATGAACAAAAAGAAGAAGTAGAAGATGAAGATAGTGAGAGTGAAAATATGCCGGAGCTTTAGGTTCTCGTGTCGGTTTTATGCAAAATATTAAAAGACCAAAGACTGAACAAATTTATTACATTATGCCTACGTAATGTATTTTGTACATATATATATATATATATATATATATATATATTCTGTTTTCTACTGTTTTTCTCATGTGTTAAAATCTTTTGTAACTATTTGCCGTTTTCTATGCGCTTAGACGTACATAAGAACAAGTATAACAGTAGAAATACAAATAAAAACGTACACAAACAACAGAAAATCCTCTAAACTTGTTCTAGTTTCTCAGCTTTAGGGTTCTTAGTTACAAAGCCTACACACATACATACAAATATATACATACACACATATACATACATATACCTACACAAATATGTTTGTGCGTTTATTATAGAAATAACTACTTTGAAAAATTTCTGGTAATTGCCTTTGCTCACCAGGCGGCCGCCTTGGCTAGCAGATGTTGTGTGACCAAGTGACCAAGCCAGTCAGTCATACCATTCATTATTCCATGTATAGAGAGAATCCTTAACTTATCAGAAATGTAAAACGAGTTTTATTCCTATTTGTCTTTTTTTTTTTTTTTTTTTTTTTTTTTTTTGTTAACTCTTGAAAAAGTTTGCCTTTGCTGTAAAGGGATGAAAACCTCCAACAGTAGCAACGAAAAGTACATATTTTTTATTATCAAAAATCAATTTTATACGGTATAGCGATAAGGATGCCCCATGTGTATGAGGTTTTATTTTTTTAAGTTCATGCTGGTCTATTTGCTCAAGTTTCTTTTGACGTTTCACATCACGTCAAAGTCTGCTATTGAGCAGACTTGCATGGAGCATTATATGTATGTTCCAATAACGTTTGAAAATTTTTTAATTTTTTTTTTTTTTTTTTTTTTTTTTTCAAAATTCACAGTAACCTGCAATACCGTTAATTTTCAAAGGGTAAACAATTGAGTTTTTTATGCAAATCGAATCGATATGCGATACGTTTCGCAACGTTTCTGTGCCAGTACGATCCTGACGTGTAAGAAGCGAGAAACGTGCTCATCTTTTCTTTTTTTTTTTTTTTTTTTGATCAAATTACATTCGACTACATTGCGTTATATCGTTTCACATGTGGTAGTTGTTCAATGCCATATTTCATAAAGTTTAGGAAAGTACTGGGCAAAGACCGGTGTTGCAACGTTGACTTTATAATCACATTGCTGTTTATTCTATTTGCTCGGCTCTACCTATTGATGAATTTATTTTTCGATTCAAGGGTGCTGTGGGGGATTCTTTGCATGAATTCATTAATGGATTGCTGAAAAAGCTGCACATAGTTAAATAATGTCACTTTGTTTTTTGGTCCATCGTTACTAAACAGATTTTTTATCTAAAGTATTCCTTGGCGAACCAATGTCGTCCAAAAAACCAGAGGTCTTCGATTAAAAAGATATGTTGAATGAGCAAATGGGTCGTTAAGAATGTATAGCAGCAGAACAGGTGTTGTTTTCGATAGAGTTGGTATTCTGCGTTATTATTATGCCTTACACTACTTGCTCTACAGTAGCGCTTACTCGGTTTTTATGGATGTACGCATTACGCAGAAAGTTTTAAAACAGACTCAGCTTTCGTCTCGTCTTTGGTCCATTCAGAATCCTTTTCTGGACCAATTTAAGCTTATATGTCTGGCTGATGTCCGTCCATGGGTATTCGTGTTCGATCTACAGATCGCAATTTTTGACATATCTTCACAAGATTTAGGGATAATGAAGCGCTTTAGCCCAAGCATGAACGATATTGCAACGATCGTTTTTCATATACCACTCACTTCATATTGTAATGTGAACCGTCTTTCGTGATTTGACTGTTTTATACTTCTTTACGGATTGGTTTCGGATCAAATCGATTAATTTTCATGAAAACACAAATCATGGAATATGGCATTCTCGTAACATTGCCCTCCGTCTCATCGTGTTCGTGTCGACCAAAGTCATTTTCGAAGGTTATTAGTCTGCTTATGTGTGCCAACTTAACTATAGCTGTGCCTTTCGGATACTTTTGAATCCTATAGGCTCTGTCACTTATCCTCGTAATAACTTTCTATGGATTCTTCCATTTAGACTGTAAATTTGCAGACAATCTGTCGTTACACGATTGGTTATACAGTTGGACTAGATCACCTTCAACAAACCTCGCTGTCCGATCATAACCGATCATCAACTTGCCACTCTCTCTCACTGCTCAACCGGTTTGATTTGTGTTTGTAAAGCGTTTTGGTCGTATTTGACCTTTCACCTCTTTTACACGATGGTAATAATTTCCGGCATCCTACGCAATAGAATCTCTGATTAATCTGTTCAGTAGTTTTCATAACGCTAAAGTGCTCTCCGTTTGGCCCATTGTGGTGTTTCTTTATGATTAGGATTTCCTTGGAGAAGGCCTTTAGGATCTCCAACAACTTATTGGCGCGTGAAGCTTTTCCACTTTATCGTATCCACGTTAGACATCTTTTTTCGAAAATATGGGCTACTCATTGAGCCCAAGATCGTTTTGTTACGGGACTATCCCCATCTATTGGATATGAAAAGTTGACCTTAATATGGGAATAAGGTATAACTTATCATATTTATCACGAAAATAAAGGCAGAACGGTATTAGGCGAAGTGATGGTTATGTAGTTATGTAGTGGTCGGCTTTATCTGACTACAATATTTCTACTGGTCCATGTTGTTTTTGTTTTTGTAGGGTTTAGTGAAGCGCTATTGCATAAGTACAACTCCTATCAACAATAATTGGAAAAATTTTAAGTAAACTTCTGTCATAGTTGACAGCTTCCAAAAATCGTATTTATATGCGTACATTTGTCTCTGTCATTTAAACGGGGAGAGGAAGAAAATTTGCAATCTATGCAGTCACAATATGAGCGAAATTATTATTTTATCATTCTATCATCAGTGCATTTAACTCATTTTAGGTGCTCGTCTGTTCGCATAGAACATAAAAATATTTGAAGTCTTAACAACTTGAAATTGTGGATACTCGAAGAAAAGAGAGTACAATCATTATCCTAAATCATATCGTCTAATAGACCTGTTCAATCATTTTCGTAATAAAATATTAAATATTATACCATGTTGCCGAATAAAGGTGTACGTTTTACGGGAGCTCTTGTAGAGGAAGAAATTCAAAATGTCCATCTATGCATACTTCAAAGTTGCCGCAAGAAAGTTTATATGTCAAACTATCAATTTGTAGTAATTTTCATTGTAGAATACCAAAAATTAGACTTTGTTGCTGTATAAAGCACTAATTTTTCTAAGAAAGCTTATAAGTGAGGGAGTGTATCCAAAAAAATGGTGTTATCCTATTTAAAATTTTTCACTAAAATACTAGGTAACTTTCGTCAAAATAAGATTCCGTATGAAAAGCGATTCAATCCGATCAATTTTGAAAGGCTTTCGTCCCGACAGATGCACGCACGTGTTTAAGTCGATTCAGAAAATGATTTACAATCGATTGTTATAACAAAACGAAAGGCTACAAACGCCTTACAAGGCCTTACAATCGCGCACCACAAGTTACATAGTGTGACTTATTTTGAAAGTTTCGTATTAAAAAAAGCAGCTAAGGATAGATGGATTATAATAAGGTCAATAAGTTCGTAACAAGTAGAAATTATTATTATAATTACATTATTGATTAGTGTTGTCGGTTTTGGGCAGATCAAATTTTCGGTTGTAGCCAGTTTTTAACTCATCAAGGTGCATGCTATGTAAGATATCTAAGGTCAAGCTTTTAAATGTGATGTGATCATAAACTGTACTTATTTACGATAAGTAAATTCAATGATTTGAAGTTTATTTCTGATTGATTCTAACGCGTATACAATTGATGAAAAACGTGCAGCAGCAGAAGTGAACTATTTAAAATTCATTTCAGGCTTTACATAATATATTTCTTACTTGATTCTATTTTATATATAAATTCTGGAGCAAAGATTTTATTTAATGCATCTTGACACAGTTTTATAGGTTATATAAACTTATGAAATTCTCGCTTTTCTTTTACTTTTCACCCTAACGTTTATGTATGTTGTGTTGTGTTGTGTTGTGTTGTGTTGCGATGTGTTATGTTATGTTATGTTGTGTTACCTCCTTTCTAATTTCATAATCTGACGTATGTAGTAACGGTTTCTTACATTTACATATATAAATATTTAATACCTTAGTGTTTTCCCATAGCTTGAAGCATGAATGATGAAAGGTATACAAAGCTTGTCGTAGTATATGTGTTATTACTAACCACTATCTCATCGTACCGTGGATGTCTGGGACACACACTCTTTCATAATTAATCTTATATGTCATGGTTTCTAAAAGTGTTTGCAAAAAGTTTTGATAAATTTTTTTGGCAAGCAGTTAGCCTCTGCTAAAAAAGATAAAACTTGCTTAATAATATTTAGCGAAGTATGTCAAAAGAAGATGAACATTTTTCGATCGATTTGAAAACGTATGTACGTTACATTCATAAAGCAAACATTACAACAATCTCATTTACTCTCAATGGTTAGAATATTCCTCGGGTTATTACACCTTTATATAAAAGTTGGGCATTAAAAGGTGAACACTGAAATTATTTTACTGAAATTTGCAATTTTCTTTTTTTCTCTATGCTATGGATATATATAATATGATATAGATAGCATGCTACCTATGCGAGCAAATTTTACTTTCACATTTTTTTCCTTTTTAATTTTAACCTCCGGTATTTTTCCTTTTAACTAAGCCACTCATTTATTCTAATTTCACTCTTGCTGTCAGTTTCTAACGAATGTTTATGTATGTTATACGTAT